TCAGAGTGAAATAATGAGTCCAGAAGACTGAGCAGACAGGCAGGTTTATATAATCTTTTGCTTAGAAGATGAAAGAAGCATTCACAGTGTCCCCTGGGAACTGGTGGAGCACTAATGACCTTCGACTGCAGTTAAGATGATTTTAAGTTGGACATTGGATAAACTTTCTCACAATAAGGACAATAAAACATAAGAGGAGATGCTTGGGGGACACTGGGGAGGGTTTTTAAGAACAGAACATTAAATATTTATCAAAACTGATGCAGAAGTAGATGAGCATCCTATGGAGTAAAAAAATTAGAGCAGGCACTTTATAGTCTGCCCTCTCTTCCATCTGCATGAATCTGTGATTTGGGTTTAACTACAGAGATGGTTTGTTTGTAATGCCAGTTGGGTAAATTTGCAGGATTCTGCCTGAATCAGCTTATATTAAATCTGTAAAAAGCCACAAATGAAAGATCTTAAACAGTTACTAAGCAGAGCCAAACTATTTTTTCATTCTATCATGACCTGACTGCTCCTATTTTTAATGCCTTGCTGATGTCCCTCAGAATCATCTTCTTTGTAAAACTTTATTAGACCTAAGACTGTAGTCTGAGAAATTTAGAGTTGCAGTCAGGTGTCCAAGCAAGCATCACTGACAGAGAGAGAGAGAGACTATTTACACCAGCATGTAGTGTGTGGCAGGATGAGGGGGAATGGCTCCAAACTGACAGGGAGAAGGTTTAGATGGGATATTAGGAAGGAATTCTTTCCTGCGTGGGTCCTTCCCATTATTGGTCCTTCCCAATTATTGACATAAGATTCCTTTTACATTCTATCTAAATGATCTGTCACTTTAAACTGTGATGACGTTCTCATTTTCCCAGGGGTGGTTCAGACCCTACTGCCATCCCAGCAGGATCCAAGCACCTGGCTGTTTCCCACATCTGAAAGCCTCAAGTTGATGGAAAGTGCATGGATTCTTCCTCCAGTTTCTGTTTCACAAGGGCTTCAGACTATAACCCGAGGTAAAAAACAAGTTTCCTTTTCTGTCCTTGCTTCTGAACGTGGCTGTCATCAACCTTTTTATCCATCTTCCCTGGTTTCCAGTGCTAGAACCCATGCAGTCCCCAAATAATCATGGCCTAAAGATTCATGTCCTGAATTAATCCCTGTTATTTACCTTAGGTAATGCACAGGGAGAAGATAACAGGGCATGATTTTACTCAACCTTGCAAATTATCCTAAAGTGTAAATGGTAAAAAACAAGTACATGAGATCCAGAAACAGCAGGAAGAGAGGCCCATTTTTGTCACAGGTTGCAAGGACTCCCTGCATCCTGATCTTTCTTAAGCCCTGGCAGTCACAGAGAGGAGATGCCTTCTCAAATTCATCCCCACACTCGACCATCCTACAGCTCACCTGGTGTCCACTCCCACATTCCCTGGAGCTCTTCCAGCCAGGCAGATGTGCAGCACTCCCAGGAATCCTGGCCCAGGCAGGGAGCTCTGGAGTGATGCTGGGACACCCACAGCCTCATGAAACCCTCAAACAAAAAAAATCCAGGGTTAGTGTTGGAAATGAGAGATGAAACAATAACACGTTTTAGTAATTACCTCGTCCACGAGCTCCGTTTCCGACGACGGAGCGCTCGGACATCAGGGCTGGGAGAAATTTGGAGAGTTAAGAGTTGTTCCTTCCGAAATTTGTGCCTGTTTCCTGCTGTCCACCTTTTTACTGCTTTGGAGATTATCTGATTCCATGTCGAATCAGTCTTGGTGAGTGTTAGGTTTGGAAAAAGAAAAAAAAAAGAGTGAACAAAACAGAATGTTTGATTGGATTTTCCATCATTATCTCCCACGTATTTCCAGCCTAAATCACCCAAGGCCTAGCATGGGATCCCCATTAGGGGATGCTACAGAAACTCCAGATAACCAACATATTTTTACCTTAACAATAAGAAAAATTAGCTAAAAACCACTCAATTTTCCAAAATGGTTGCAGAGTCACAGAATCTGCTGAGCTGGAAGGAATCCACAGGGATCATCCAGTTCAACTCCTGGCCCTGCACAGGACACCCCAACAATCCCACCACGTGCCAAAGGCTCCTGGAGCTCTGGCAGCCTTGGTGCTGTGCCCACTGCCCTGAGGAGCCTGTCCAGTGCCCAACCACCCTCTGGGGGAAGAACTTTGTCCTGATTCCCAACCTAAACCTCCCCTGTCACCCACTGAGACTTGTGACCCGTCATCCCCTGATGTTTTTAGGATCCAGCAATGCAAAGCCATGCTTGATCTCATTTGCCTTGTCTACAGCCCTGCTCCGAACAGGAGCTTGGCCAGGTGACCTCCAGAGATCCCTTCCAGCCAGCACTCTCCACAATCCCGAGGCTGATGAGATTTCTTCACCATCCTTCAGTACCACAAAGCCACTTTCCCCCCTCATAATCCTTTCCTTTTCTCCCTCCTCTCCAAAGGGCAAGCAAACACTTCCCCAAAGGTTGTTCATTCCATTACACCCCTAACAGCAACCATTGGACGCCTCTTCTTTTTCCCTGTCCCCGCCAACACGTTCCACGACGAGGAAGACGGGAACTCCACCGGGTTGTCTCTCCGAGTGGCTCCGGCCGACGGCTCTCCAGCAGGATCGGAGAGCTGGCTGCAGTTCAACGCCTCCCAGCAGGCCATGCACGGCTATCCCCTGGATGTTGACCTGCAGTATTCCCCTCAGGAGTTCGTGCTGTCTGCCGTGGATTCGGGAGGGCTGACGGCCTGCGAGTCCTTCACCGTCGAGCTGCTCGAGCCCGCCGAGGCCCCGTGCCACGTTTACACCGTCCGTGCAAAGAACAGCTACTGCTCTTTCCTGAGGGAGAGGAGCAGGCTGGGTTTGTTCCTGGAGAAGCTCTCCCTGTACCTGAGCTCCAGCAGCCCCGGGGACGTGGTGGTGACAGCTCTCCGGCCCGGCTCCACGCTCATCTCCTGGTACAACAGCTCGCTGTGCGCACGTGCTGACGGATCCCGGTGCGCCAGGGACGAAATCCAGGGAGCGCTGGAGAAATTAGGGGTGCCAGGCGGGTCCATCAGCCCCCACTTTGTCCAGGCAATGCTGCCAGAATACGAGATTGATGTGATTTTCAGCATTTCCTACGGCGGCCTCTGCTCTGCCACCACGAGGCCGTTCCATGGGCATACCCTTCAAGCCAGGAATGACTCCACGGTCAGGGACACCCCACCTGCCTTACTCAGCAGTCTTTGTGCCACTGCTGGGGTGCTCCTGGTAATCCTGTTTTGCTGGCTTTGCAAGTGTCCCAGAAGAATTCCTGGATCCCAGAATGTGCTGTTCCAGAGGAGCTCCCGCTCGGGCCGTGCTGACGTGGAACTGGATGTGCTGAAACCCCGCAAAGCCCCTGTCCACGAGTGCAGGCCTTCAGCTCCACCTCCACTGGGGACCTCACCTGGGGCACCACTCACCTTCCCAAACCAGCGCCCCAGGGCAATCCCACTGCCCCACATCACACCACCAAAATACCAACTCCCTCCCCTCTACGGGGAGGGTGTGACCACCCACCACGGCAACAGCCAGAGGCTCAAGGGAAGGACCTGTAAATGATATTGAGAACAAAATCTACCAATAAAAGGGACTATTTGTTCTAGAAGGTGCTGTCCTTATTACTCACATACACAGCACAACTCTTCCTGTTAGGGAATCAGAGACAATGTACTTCTTAAGCTACATTTTTTAAAAGTTACAGGTGTAAAAACTCACTCTCTTGTCCACTTCCACCCTTTCAAGAGCCCACAGGGCCTTACAGAATCCCTAAAATTCTGTAAAAGAATTTCTAAAAGCTTTTCATGTGTTTTTTAATCCTTTCAGTTTAACAAACTGACACGTGCAAAATGTAATCTGTAATTTAATTATGGACTATATTTTGCAATTACTTAACTAGGATTAAACTGCTTAATCCACAAGTCCGTATTTTAACCTGTAATCTTCCCTGCACCTGTAGTCCATAAAACAAGGAGTGGTAAAATATAAATCCAAAGGATCACTGCAGGAAACATCAGCCCTTGTGGCATCTCCTGTCCCTGTAAGACTCTCCAAGTCTGTAGAATACAAACCCCACAGTTACCTCCTGCTCATTTAATCACTGAACAGCCAGATGCTTCAACTGTGGAAAATGGGAGTTAGGAAACAACCTAAACAAATATATATTTCAACAACGGCACAAAACTCATGAGAAACAAGAATTCCGTGGCAGTTTTCTCCATCAGAACATCTGACATGGGATGTCAAGAGATGTGCTGATCCAGCACATCCTGTTTTTAAGGAATATTTTATTCAAAGGAATTCAAAGTCTTCAGGCCAGGATCTCCAAAAGTGACACACTGCTTCTGTAAAAGCTACATCAGCTTCAGAACGTGACCAAAAGTGTTACCATGCAAGAACCATTTCATCAATCTGTAAAAATGGCCCTGAAATCACTCAGCAAGAAAACACACCTGCACCACAGAGGCTAAATTATCATTATGTCTTAGAGAGCACACTCCATCAGAAAAATAATTATTAGCAAAAAATTTATTTTACGTTTGCTTACAAAGCCTTACCTCCAACACAACAACCTGAAAGACCTTGCTTTCTAAAGACCATTTGCGTTCCATTTTTTAAAAGCCAACAGTTTTTTAAAACCAACAGTTTTTATCTCTAAAACCCCTCGCCCTCCCATCCCCTTAATTGCAAACCAAGACTGGCATTTTCTCAGCTCAGTGACTCAGTGTGAGGTCTTTTCCATAATTCCGGACTCCTGAGGAAGTTTCATATAAATAAAAGTTTTCACGAACCAAAAATTACCAACGTTATCGAGCTTATTACAAATCACTCCAATTTTTTTTTTCTTTCCTTTTTTTTTTTTTTTTTTTTTTTTTTTTTTTTTTTTTTTTTTTTTTTTTTTTTTTTTTTTTTTTTTTTTTTTTTTTTTTTTTTTTTTTTTTTTTTTTTTTTTTTTTTTTTTTTTTTTTTCTTAAAACAATCACTGATTTGGAAATATTACCCAGTACTTCCGGGAAAGGACTTTTAAGCTGACTAACGTTTTGGATTCCTTGATTTAGTCCACGGGAGCAGGGGTTTTCTTCATCCCAAAGCACGAGTGGGAACACTGAGGGACAAGCTCCTGTTTGCACACGTGATACGCGGATTTCGTTCTCTCATAGCAAAAATAGGAATAGAAAAAAATGTAAAAACCAATCCAAACCAGAGCTATACAAGTGTATTGAAACAGTACCAAGAGCAATTCCAGCATTAAATATTTCTGGGGTTTGGCCAGGTTTTTTGTCCAGAGGGACGGAATGAAGCCATCACTGCCGGCCCGTTTTTCCGTTTTCCGTCGTTTCCATTCTGAAAGGCAAAACAAGCGGTGAGGCTTGCTATTGGAAATGCCATCAGCAGCTTCAGGAGAAACCTATCAGCCTTAAAGACTTCCATAACTGGTTTTTTACATCACTGACCATCCTGTCTTCCCCTGCCCCAACGATCTTATCTCCTTCTCTGAGCAGCCATCCGAAAGGTTCCCGCGCAGGAACGTTCCAGCAACAACCCTGAAAAGCCACCCATTATCAACCTCACCAAAAGACAAAATATTCCCAAGGCTGGAGAATATTCAAGTGACCAGGGAATCCAACTGGAAAACATGAGCCTTTGGCAGTTTGTTTCAAGGACTTCACCCCTCTCACACTGACCCCTGACTGCCAGCACCTTGGTGACTGGAGAGGTTGGTTTGTAGCTCTCCATCAGCACTATGGGCAAAGAAATGTATTTATCCATTTTAATCCTCAGAAGAACAGTGTCTAATGCTGTAAACTGAAGTGTTCCTCCAGGCTGACCCCTGCTAAGATCTCTGCAGTGATTTATTTACTGATACAAACCCGTTTTCCTCTTTCAGGTGTTGGTACAGCTCAGCTTTGTTGTTGACAGAGTTCAAACGACCAATAAATTCCTGGTGTTTCCTGGAGTTGGCAGTGTTGATTCTGTTGCTCCATAAGGACAGCAAGGACATTGGCCCTAAAATTGCAAGTGAAAAGAGTCTAAGTGATTTCATTTCTGAATTCTTAAACCGTTACCATGGCTTAAAAGAATTACAGATTATTTATCCTTTAAAAGAAATCATAATAAATGTTGCAATTCTTCTGGTTTACCTTTTGCCTTTTCAACTGTGGGCATTTCATCCATTGTAATCAGAGGTTTTTTGTTGGGGGGCTCAGGAGAATCAGGGGAATCTTTGATAACCTCAGCTTCTGCCAGCTCTTCTTTCTCCCGATCCAAAAGACCTTTTAACCTTTGGGAGAGGGAAGAAAAATTTGCTTGAGCAGAACATAATTTCTGATACCACACAATTTCCTGTTACCTTTCCTAGGTGAATTCAGACCCATTCCATAGCAAACCCCTTCTCTCCTAGTCCCTGTTTTTTGTTCCACATTTGCAACTAAAAGTTTCAGTTGTAGGAATGGATTTGGTTGTGCACAGAAAGTCATGAAGGGTCATAGGAGCGGTGGCAATAAAGGTGAAAAGGTCCTCCTGTGTGAAACGATCACAGCACGCACTAAACATGTGCAAATTAAGCTTTTTTGATACCTTTAAAAGAGTTTGAAAGAGGGAAACCAGAACAGACTGATAGACCCTTAACACCCAAGACAAGCTCAAGCAGCAACATGAATTAGAGACAGTAGGACTGTGGACATTAATCCTGATGTTCAACTGCAGAGCCAAACCAATCCACACTGTTCATCTACCTGAATACTAAACTATCTAGAGCTTAAAAGAAGAGAACTGCCTGAGTTCTGAGCCATGCCCTGTATTTCCATAAAGCAGTTTAATGTCTAGTACGTGGTATGGTTGCAGTAAAACCCAACAGCAGCGACTCCTCAAGCTGAAAGGCCCTGCTAAGTGGGCAACAACTGGCCCAAGAACCACACTGCCTCTAAAATATGGGAATCTCAGAAGTCCACTGTAATAAGATGCCCACTTCCCAAGCCTGCTAATATTTACTGATCCAAACCAAGGAGAATCATTATGCTCTGATTTCGTTTCACTTTGGAAAACGCACCTCTCCGATTCCTGCCACGGCTTGTCCGACTCGTAGTCTTTTCCCAGCTTTTCTGACTTATCTTCCTTGTCTTCCCTCTTCCTGCCCCTTTTCTTGCGCTCCTCCTCCTCGGGGGGTTTGCTCCTGCAGGCCAGCAGGCACTCCAGGACCCGCTGGTGCTTGTCAGAGTTGTTGATGTGCGCTCGGACCAGGGTCTCCAGCTCGTTCCACATGATCCGGTACTGCTCATCCCTGCGAAAGGCCAGGCCAGAGGAACACTCAGCATTTCCTCACTGAACACACTGAATGAAAAGGCAGATCCTCGAGAAACAAAAGGAAGAACCCCCCCCCCAAAATCAAAACTAACTCCAGATAGATTCCCTGTCCTCCTGTACTGGAGGTCTGTCCACCTGCACGGTGCATTCCACGTTTCCCAATGAACACCCAGAGCCAAGTTTAAACTGAAATGACTTCTGTCCACTGACATCACAATTTTCACCAGCTCTCACTGCCAAAAGGCACTTCTGAAACCTCTCAGGTGTCCGCTAACTATGCAGTGTCATGTACTGACATGCAAATGAATTATTATTAAATTCTGTGGATTAAGAAATAAGGACTGTAAATAACTTCCAGTCCTGTGGGAAAATCCGTATCTTAACGTCTTTTCAGCCCATATTTAAAGTAATTGTTTCAAAACGCTTGGGATATTTTAACATTACCAATTTGAAAGCATTGTTTCTTTATAACATGTTCAAGTTTTCCTTTTAATTAATGGGAAATGATTCCACTTTGTCCAACTTGTATCCATCACAATGACTATCTCTGCTTTCACATTTTTTAGCACACTTTTAAAGTTCCTGGGTAATAAACTGATGAGAGTTCTTTTCCCCCACCATACAGTGCTGTGACAGCCCCTCAATGATACAGGCAAATGATTCACAGCAGATACAACATTTCAGTTTACTATGTATTATTTCTGGCTATATTTTGAAAATCTGGTATGAAAACAATGAAGTATTTCTGACAGAAGTCCAGCACAAAGAAAGAGAGAGATGCATGTCACCTTTTTGGCCCCTTTCCTCTGGTTCCAACTGTTGAAATGGGCAGTGGGTCATTTTTCCTCTCCATGTCAACCAAATTGTAAATTGTTTTTTGACAGTTCAGAACATCCTCATCAGTCATTGCCTCCTTTACAATCACGCTGGCCAATGGCACCACCTGCAAGGCGAAAGAGAAGCCAGTGAGACAATCTGTGTGTAAATAATCCCACCTTCTTCTCCTAAATTTAGCAGTAACTCTGAGCAGGTCTAAATAGATGTGTGTTTTCTTGACCCAGCTCAAACATTCCACCCCCACTTGGATGGCATCCCAGTGATCTACTGCATTAAATACAGAGCGTGCCAGCGAAAATAAACTGATTTTGTGGGGATTTATCATAAAAACAGAGCTAATAATTCACCAAGGGGCAAGGTGAAACTTAATCTAGAAGAGACCAAAAGGTTACTTACAGCCTGCATGTTGAAGATGGTGGTCTGAGAAATAATCATAGGCCAGTAACGAGTGTGTTTCTCTAACTGATCTTTTGCACGTTCCAATGGAATTTCAAGACTTCCATCCATCTTATATCTGGGCTCTAGAAAAGGAGTTAATCGGTTTTCCCTCATAAATTCACCAAAATCCTAATGATAACCAAACAAGATACAATTAGGCATTTCTCTAACACAGGAACTTTCACTGAATGGGTTTATCACTAACCTGCACCACCCCCTCTGCTCTCCCTGGCCCTGCCAACCCCGAGCCCTTTTCCAGCTTTCACCTGGACAAATTATCAGGGTGAACACAAAAACAGTGGCACAGAAACAGGGGTTAAACATCCAGGAGGAGGCCTTCTGGATCTGCAAGGTATTTCGTGGATGGTGAGAGTTATACTGCATTTTTCCAGAGGCCACTTCTGCTTGTTTACAAGAGATACAAGGGATATGTGGAAAATAATAATGGAAATGTAAAATTAACGCCAGCTGATTGTCTGCTCCGTTATCAGGGCTCAAAGCTGACAACTTCATCTTTTCTATTTACTGTACAAGCCATTCCTGTGCAATCTATCCTTCTGACAACAACTGGGAGACAGCCCTACATGTATCCCACCCCCAGGAAGAATTTGCCAAGAAAAATTATAATTCTAGACCCAGGACAAATTCAAACACTCAGACTGCACAAGGAGGCGAGTCCTTCTTTGACACAGCATCAAAATCATTTCATGAAGCACAGCAACCAGCAGATGTACTGTTTTGTATCAGTTATCTATCAGCAGTACAAAGTTTGGCTCCTGCTCTCCAGAAGGTGCTCCAAGGCTTCCTTCACCCATCTACTGCGATGGGCAAGAGGAGCAACAGTTCAGAAGATTAAAAAAAAACAAACAAACAACCCAAAGGATCTTACTGTAATCCTGTAGTCAGTGACTCTTCCACCACACCCTTCACTAATTGATGGGGGATCTTCCAGAATTGACCTGGAGCTGCTTAAAACATGCAAAAAGATTTCCCCCCCGTGGCTGCTGAGCATGTGGCTGATGACTTTGGAGCCAGACTTGCGGGGCTGTTCCAACAAAACCGAGCGACCTGTTGGGAACCGGGATGGGGTTTCATCAGTTGCTGCTTTGATTTTTGAATTAAAGCTACAGAAATAGGTGTGAAACGGCCCTGCTGCTGAAACCCCCTCATTAAAAGCAACTTCCGAGAAGTAATAAAGTAATCACTTGGGTGTAAAGGCATCAGTTGATTCCTGCTGTCGGTGCTGGAGATGGATGTAGTTTTTTGGAGACAGAGGAATAAAACTTGCCTTGGTTCCAGGAAAATAAACTATGCATAAAAGGGAGCATTTTTCCAAATAAGCTCCTCGTTATGGGGGAGCAAAAATACCAAAATTACCTGAAAGATGCTGTTAATTTTGCTTCTAACCATTTTTATTAATCAAAACACTTTTTTGTTATAGAATCTTAAGGGAAAAATACATGAAAATATCGTTTTTAATGAAACCACTGCACATTTAGACACTCAAGTGGCTTGACTGAAGAAAACATTCCACTGAAAGGATGTTTGCAATGCAATTTTGCTTGCAAACAGACAAACACTGATATTAATACTTGCTCCTTCTTTACATCTTTTCTCCCATCCTGAAATTTCAAAACTATTCCATCTGCTTTTCAGGACATTTAACAACTTTCTTCTCTTACTTGCAGGACGTGTTACAATAAACTTGGTATTTTTACAGTATTGAGACATTTACTGATGCACAAACCAACATGTGCTCCAACTGCAGCGTTGACAATTAAAACATGAAATAATTAGCCAAGGACACAAATTTACCATTGAGGAGGAAGTTTGTAAGGCATGAGGAAGGTCTGCTATTTACATCTACTGGTGAAATTCTGTATGCTCCAGTGCAATAGTGCAGCTCTGAAAAAACAAACACAGAAGTGGGCAGAGAGGTTGAGTGTCATTCCACAGACAGGAAAAACCACCCACAGAATAAAAGGAAGGAAGGAGGAGGAAGTCAATTCACAACCAGCAGCAGAACTAAAAAATCTGGGTGCCTCTCGATCTCAAAGCCTGCTCCCTTCACCACCTCCTTGGAACAGTTCACTGGGAGGATTCCCAATCCCCCTCAGCTCTTTATCTCCTGACAGATTTCCCTGTACAGTTTGCCTGCTTTTATTTCTCTTTATTTTTGATTTGCTGGCTCAGTGAGTCAGCATTTATTGCTAACAGTCCCCAGGGGATTCCTGTGTTACCTCAGGAATTCCCTTTCCCTCCCATACTCAGATGTGGGCAGAGATCTCTCCCTCCGTCAGATCAGAAAGTTGATACAGAGGGACTGATTCTATCATTGCACACATTTAATTCCCTGATAAAGCTCAAAAGGGCACAGAGGGGGACAGGGCTGAGCACCAGCTCAAGACCAGCTCTGGAAGGTTCCAGGCTACCTACCCACGCTGTTTGTCCGAGGGGTGCACCACTTCAACGTCACAGTTTCTTTAAAAGTGCCTTCCCTGCTGTTGCCACCCACGTGATTATCACCTGCAGAGAGAGAGGCAGACAAAGGGGCTGATCGACCACGTTTCCTTCATTGCAGCAGAACAGCTCTGAACTTTTAAGGTGCAAAATACACATAAACATGATCATGTACTGACCAGACATGTTTTATTACTAAAATGCCTTCATGCAAGGTCTCACTGGTCTTGCAAAAGCCACCTGATGGCCTTAAATTAGACATTATCAATACGCTTTCACAATAAACTACATTTCTTCCAGTGAGCTTTGAGAGTCTTCATGATCTCTGGCTCATGTTGCCTCAGGAAAGAATTAACTGAGTTCTGCATCAAGTTTCACAATTACACAGTCCCTGAAGAGCCCCAAATGCACAATATTTGGAAAGAAAAACACAGACATTACCAGGCAACACTGCTGGGCTGGGCTGGCAACAAAGTGGGTAGGGTTGAGTCTAATCTTAAGAGTAAGTTTTATTTCATATCAGACATTTACATGTGAAAGATTAGTTTGATGTGCTTATTAAAACCCCTCCCGAGCCCTTCCAATAAAACTTTAGGCTTTCCAACATCTTAACACAAATTCAGGTGAGTCCCCAATCATTACTGTGACACTCTATTCTTTTCCATCAATCTTTAATCCAACACTCCACTGAACTATGGGGGACAGATGATAGAGGAATTCCTTCTTTTCCTCAAAGTAATGGTAATCTACTTAAGAGGAAAAAAGGTACCAGCTCCCCAAAATGGTCATTTATGGACCACAGGACTTTTAATTCCACTAATACAGAAGTTCTAATCTATTAACAAAATCTTACATCAAGCACTATTTCCTCTATAAAATAATTTTGCATAAGGCTTAGTGTCGTGTTTTTCTAACCTCAAGTTGAGTTATTTAAAATTCACTGCAGAGGAATATTGGGTAAGAGCTCCAAATTCAGAGATAAAATGGGAGGTATTTCAAATCTCACAGAAACAACTTGAACACGTGTGAATGTGACCTGCTTTTCCACTGCCATGTCCTTATTACTGTATTAAAACATGCCAAAAACGAGTAAAACTCCAATGCCAACATTACAAAGGAAGCTTTTTGGGTTGCAAGGACTGGAAGAACCTGCTCCTCGAGCCTGAGATTTCCAGGGATTTGAAGCTCCCACCATTTCTGATCAAAATCCACCTCTGGAGGGCTATTTCCACTCACCACTCTTTAAAAAGTCAACGTGTGCCTCTTTGTGATGAAGCAGCTCCACATCATAGTTGGCTGATGTGTTAGCATGTTGTTCTTCCTTTAAAACAGAAAGGCAGAAAGAAGGAATGTAACTCTTTCAGCTTGAAATCATCCTTTCATAAAAGAATCGTTCTACATTTCCCTTTCACTGCAGAAGGAAACAAAACAAGGTCTCCGAAGCGCCTCAGACAACAACGGGATTGCAAGGTTGAGGAAACTGTTTGCTCTCTGAGCTGTTTGAAGGTGCAGGCACCTGCTTTTCCTCCTTTTTTTTTTTTTAATTCCTCTTTTTACAGGTGTACATAGTGCAAAAGAGGTAAAAATTAGGCTTTATTTAAATTAGGGAAGGAAAACTACGATAATGGTGGATATCGCCAGCAGTTACAGCTTTCTGAGCAACGAATGGTCAATGACAATTACTGTTCATAATTAAACATCTCGAGAAACTTCTTATCATTTCCTTCCACTTAAAAAAGATCTAAGAGTGCACCCCTTTACACTTTCACAACTTCAGAATGTGGTTCTGCACAGAGGACACTGCATCTTTAAACAGCCACAGAGGACTCGCAAGAACGGAACAGTGAGTTTGGTAATTTATTCCAAGTTTAAAAACATAAATAAAATTAAAAAAAAAAAAAAAAAGAGAGGAAAAACCCCACAGAGAACCCAACATAGTCTATCACTATAAGGACAAAGGCAGAAGGGAGAGGCATAACAGCAGCACACAGGTCAGAAAGTTCCAGACAAGGTATTTGCAAACTTAAGTCACGTTGGTGCCGTGCCCCATGTTTCAAAGTTTCATTAAAGGTGTGAGAATAATTTTAATGTCATGGTTTAAATTGTAAAATCCATACAATGCTGCTAGTTTTCAAAGGTGCAATTGCTGATTGAGTGCATGAGAAGGTAACGGATTTTTTTAAATCATGGAAGGTACCTGCCCCTGCCCTTTTTGTTTGCCTGAATATTGACACTCCTGATTCAAATTTCTCTTGCTGCCTGCTCAGAGAACGGTTGTAAACTCAAGATGTTCAATTTAATATGTTTCTTAACCAGCTCTATCCAGTCCCAAGTTTCTTGTTTGTGGATCTTCAAACTGCAAATCCTCCTGGGAAAGCCTTAATCACAACCCAGCTCTCAGTTACAAACACCTTTATGTTGGGTGGGCACGGTAATGAAACAGAGGAAAAAAGAGACTCACTATGCCACTAGAATGCACAAGGGTCAAGAATATCTAAACACAACTAGAAAAAGACAAAAGAATCACAGACAAATTAATCTGAGGTAAATAAGATTATATATTTATATAAAGTAACACAAATAGAACTGAAATAACTTGTATTGCCACACCAAAAACTGAGGTTCAGCAATACAACTTTTTTGTTCTGTGATCCTTCTTTAAATTTTTTTTTTTTTTTATTTCCCCCTTCTTGATTTTTACTAACCTGGTCACAGACATTGAATGTGGGCTAATAAAATAAAACAAAAAAAACAAAACAAAACAAAAACAAAACAGAAAACATGATATGGAGAGAAAAACAATGTAAAAATTCAATTCAAATGAACATTAAAAAGTTTTCAAACAAATTTAGAAGTGATGCAGGAAAGTTCCCACAAAGCTGTAGACACAATATTACCTTCATGGGGATGTTTGTGATGGTGGTTGAAGCCAAATCAAAGTGTTGTTGCACTAAAAGATTCAGTTTCGTGGCCAAATGCCTCCCTGCACGGACACTGTGCACCTCACTGGTCAGGACAGGTGAGAGCTGGAACAAAAGGGACACGTGGAATTCCTGGATTAGGCTCTGGTATCATGGAACAGTTCATTCCAAACTCAGAAAATAAGTATTTACAATAAGTTGGGGCGGGGGGGGGGGGAAACTCCCACCCAAAAAACCCACAGCAAGGGAAACAACAAGAAAGAAGCAGAAATTACTCTTAATTCAGAATTTTGAGGTTATGCCACTTGCTCCAATTGCAGTTAATACAAATGGGTGAGAAAAATTTAGGAGTGCTAAAAAAAAATCTGGGTTGTTAATTGTTAATAAGAACTTTTCTTTGTTTTAGCTACTGAGTAACAGGAGTAAAGTAATTTTTATATATGGACCTGTAAAAGCCTCATATATTTATATATAAAATAAACACAAGCCATGAGATGTATCTGATTTTTCCTCACACAAAAAGAACATTGGTTTGGAGCTTAAAAAAAAAACCACAACTACAAAGAAAACCTCCCAACCAAACACAAAAAAAATGCACAAGAAAACTACCCCAAACAAGAAAATCCCACAACCAACCAAACAAGACCAAAACAACCAAACCAAAACAAGAAAACCAAACAAAAGCCCCCAAAACCAAACCAAAACAACAAAACCCCAAAAATTAAAAACCACAAAAAAACAAACCAAACAATCAAAACCATCCAAACCAAATAAAACCAAACAAAAATCAACAATAACAAAAAGAAAAAAAAATTAACAAGAAAACCCCACAACAATCAACTCCCCCAAAACAATAATAATAATAATTAAAAAAACTCTAACAATAAAAAATCCAAATCAACTAAAAAAAATCCCCAAACCCAGTGTCTGCCTTACAGAGGGAATTAGAATTCAATTTATTGCCTCCTGTTATTTTTTTTTTTTTTAGCACAACTACAGCAGAAGTTTGTAGAAAAGAATCTCAGGAAGGCAGCTGTTACACTCCTTTTTATTTAATAAATAACATGCAGGACCAGATGCCTTTTCCATTAAGAAAACTTGTTTTCTTGTGTCTTTTCTCGTTCTTACAGACAGCACAGTAAAATGCAGAGCAAAATGAGGAATAAATTACTGAATATTCTGTATGTACTTGATTCCCAACAACCACCACACGTGGTTTAGCTGCTGTACAACTGAGAATAACTGGCACAAAGCCTGAGATGGTTCATCTTTGGTGAAATTTTCTGTTTCAGCTCCTCACCTCTTTTTTAGGGCGATCTGAAACCAGGCTGTCTTCTCCAACGGGGTAGGTGTGGATCAACACCAGCTCACACTTCTGAATCTGCATTAGACTGGAAAATAAAACACATTTTGTTGAGCCTGGAAATGAAATCCATTCTGATTTATAAACATGTATTAACAGTGTGCTTTTTCCAGGGGTAGAAGCGAGGTTACACTAATGATTTTTATCAGAACAAAAATAAAAACATAACATCTGTGGCTCTTCAGATGCTCCAGCAGTGTGTTTGTTTTTTGGACAGATCACTGGGGCAACCTTGGGCAGCTTTTCCCAGTTGGAAAGTGCCACTAGAGGGGATTTGTGCCTCCAAGGGTGGGTGTTAATAAGGGGATCCCATGAACATGGAAACAACTACCCAAATAATCCAGAGATTATTATTATTATTATTACTATTATTATTATTATTATATCCTAATCTGGCTGAAAGTTTGGGAAGATCAGGACATTGTTTCACATCTCTACCTACAGGAATGAGACCATTTTTCTGTCTTTCCAGCAGACTCAGAACCTGATTCCCTGGACTTTACCTGGATTTTCTTTATTAAAAAAATACATTCACATTTCATGAAGATATGCCAGGCATGTGCAGGGTGAGAGAAACTCAGTTAAGTTTCTCTTAATAAAATAAAAATATCTAATAGTAAGTAAGTAAATGATAATGATAATAATAATAATAATAATATTTTAGTAGCATTATTACTGTACTTATTAATATTAACACATCAATAATTACACTTTATATATTATTTACATATTTCAATGTAATTATATGTCTTATTTTGATATATTTACACATGTTTTATATTTATATAAAACATACAAAAATATATTTAAATATATTTACATTATTACTGATTTATACTATTAGATAAATATAAAAGTATTTTTAATGTATGTATACAAATATATTTAAGCCCCAAAATATATTTTTTAAAAAGTTATAGGCTAATACATATTTATAGCATATTAGTATATACTAAATATATATTTTTACAGAAGAAAAATAAATCTTAGGAATTACTGATAATATCAATAGACAATAAGGATGATGATATGGGTTATTACAATAATAATGATAATAATAGTTATAATAATAATAATGACAATCATGATAATAAGTGTGTAAAAAGCAAAATAATCACAATAATAATAATAGTAATAATGACAGTGTGTAAAAAGCAATACCACTGGTCAATAGTAATATTAGTAATAATAATAGTAATTATTATAATAATAATAATGTATGTAAAAAGCAATGCTCAATGGTTAATTGTAATATTAGTAGTAATAACAGTAACGATGATAATAATGTGCATAAAAAGCAAAACTCAGTGATCAATAATAACAAGAATAAGTGTGTAAAAAGCAATACTCACTGGTCAATAATAATATTAGTAATAATAATAATAATGTGTGTAAAAAGTAATACTCAGTGGTCAATAATAACAATAGGTGTGTAAAAAGCAGTACTCACTGGTCAGAGTTGGCTGCCAGCTTGTTGTGCTCATGGATGGTCTCCTGAACACAATCCTCCAGCATCCGAACGTGGCTATCACTGGAAAAACACCAGGAATTCCTTTCAATGCTGGACCATCCACCCCCCGGCTCACCGAGCGCTCCCCTCCCTCCAGCCCTCCACAAACAACACCTCCAGCAGGGCACAGGCACCCAAACACTGAGCTGACTCTCTGAGGGTGGCAGGCCCCGATCCCACAGACACCCCCAGGATCCCCCAGGACCCCCCAGACCTCTTGGCGTTGGTGATGCAGATGATCCTGCCCCGGTTGCCCACGCGCTCGGCGTTCTCCAGGAGGCTGGTGCGGGCCTCGTGCTGGTACTCGGTGATCTTGCACAGGGCCTCCACCGCCGCCACCAGCCCGTGCAGGATGCTGCAGCACTCGGGGTCTGCCCGGGGGTTTGGGGGCCCCACAGCTGCCAGGGCTGCCATCAGCTGGTGGGAAACAGGGAAAGAGATGAGCACCGGAATGTCCTGGGCACCCAGCTGGGATGTCAGCACTTGGACGTGCCAATTAATATTGTCGGGAGATGAACAGACAAGATAAGTAACCAGCACTTGATGTTGGCGGCCCTTCTGGGAAACATCCTAAATCACCCTCTGCAATTCAATTTACTCATTGTTACTGAGCCTTGAGAATATAATATCCTCATTTATTACATTTATTATACCTGCTTATAATCACAAGTTTCACCCAACACCTGAAAGACACCCCAGCATTATTAAAGGTGCCATTTTGCTTTCAATTCCTGAGAATCCGAAAATTCAGTTCCTCCCCTATGAAAGTTTTTCCAAGGATGAGCCCCTTTCAGTATGAAACAATATGATAACAAAGAGGATAGTTACAATTAATGTTTCCCATGGTTTGATTTGGTTTTTTTGTTGTTGTTTGTTTTTGTTTTAGTTTGATTTTTGTTGCTGTTTTGGTTTGATTCTGGGTTTGATTTTGTTCTCTATTTGTGTGGGGGGTTTTTGTTTGGTTTTTTTTTTTTTTTAGCCTCAAACCAATGTTCTTGTTGGCTGGGGAAAAAAAAATAAAAATCAGCTGCATCTCATGCTTTGTGTTTATTTTCTGTGTGTGTATTATGATGAACTTACAGGTTTATTTGCCTGTCATGCAAATTTAAAAAAAAAAGAAGGAACTTAGTAAGTAGCACAGAATTACAGCAGAAATACATAGGTAATTTCATATTATTTAATACGTAAATCTAGAGTGAAACACTCTTTAAATTTTGTAGGGCAATCCAGCCTTGAAATTGTTATGCAACAACTTCAGACCAGACCCACCAATATCTTAATTAACCTGAGTTATTTCATACTGAACATAACAAAATGTTGCTATTTATTCCACAATTCAGCTACACCTACAAAAGACCAGCTGCAAACCATACCTCCTGCAAGTTCTGATCTTCTTGAGTCCAAGAATTCAAGACATGAGCCCCAGAATCACTCACAATGAAGTTCACCTGCAAGGATCAAAAAATAAAATCACCTGTGAGGTAACAGGCATTATAGTGCTACTTCCCCAAATCCAAACAAACACGAATTACATTCCTTTTTGCTTGTATTTTTAAGCCACAAAGCCAGTCTCTACACCAAACCAGAACTGCAGATTATTAAGGATTTCAACAATCAAGCAATATTTTCAGCAGAAAATAAAATACAACACTGCAATACTGGACATCATTCTCCAAGGACTCTCATGGTGCCTCATGAGTTAAATGTCCAGCAAGATTTAAAAAACATCACCCAGGAAAACATATTTAGAAAAACAGGGAGCTGCGTGTGCCAAAAAGCTCTCCCCCTTTCCCAAACTGGCAGTTCCAGGGTGATCCCACCTCTTCCCCAAGCCCAGAACTCCTTGGAAGTCAACACCATACATTTCACATTTCAATCTAACTGTTAAAAGACTTAAATCCACTTAAAAATAAGAAAGAAAAATATTCCTCCCACTATCAAGAAGGCTGGAGGAACTCACCAGTTTCTTGAAAGGGAAGATATCATACATTATTCTACAGTATTCCATGGATGATTCCACGGAGCAGGTCCATAGGGACTTGGAGATGGGTGCCAGAGGGATAATTCCCTGGGTCCTGTTCTTCACCAGCATGTCGAATTCAACGTGTTGCCTGCATGATTCTGCCATGTAGGGGCAGTGATCCACCACGAAAACAGTTTTATGAGACTCAGAAAATATTTTCATTTTCTTCCTGAAAGAAAGAAGGCACCAAAGTCAGGGAGGAACTGTCCGAGTGGCAGGTGTCCCTGCCCACGGTGCCTTCCTACCCAAACCACACTGTGATTCCATGATTCCATTAAAACTTTGACAGAACTGTTCAGAGTTTTTAAAAAACACCAAAATCCCCACTTTAAGAATCTATTTACATGGAGACAAACATTTCTCTAGAACTCTAATCCATATTCAGCAGAGTAGGTTTCTAACCAGAAGAAACTACTTTTTCTCAGGAGAAAAAAAAAGCAGAAAAAAAGATTATACCGCTGAGAAGGCAACAAGAATTCACAGTATTGCCCTCCCCATTTCCCTAGTTAAAATAAAAAAATAAAAAAGCAAGTAGCAACTGCTTCCTACTGAAAGCTTATTTCCTAAAATAAAAGTTACATGGGAAAAAAAACAACTTACGGTTAAACTTTAAAGAACTTGAAGTAGCCCAATCAGATTTTAAAGTGATTTATTTCAGCCTTTACTGTGCTAAACACATCTTGATTTTTTTTTTTAATCTCGCATTTGCACCTGTACCTCAGTCTCTCCCTGAC